GCAGTGACCCATTACATCCTGTGCTATTTAGGCAAATACACTTTGCTTATGCTTAGAGGGGCACTTTAATTTTTCCCCACACATTCTACAACGGAATACTTGTACTAAAAATAGATCTCAAGGGCAAAGCTCTGGCTCAGCCCGAAGCCTGAATTTTAACAGGAACGAGAAGGGCTGTCTCCAATTCTTGCATGTCGTGACTGATAATGGCTAGCGTGTTCTCTTATTCTGTTATCTTACTGCAGGGGCTGGAGGCAGTGTGCTTTTGCAGACCAGTTGCTGGAAACTGCAGGAGGGGAGAGGGCTGTGTGTAAGCTCCTCTTTGTGGGCCTCCCATGGGCATCTAGTTGGCCACTGTGAGAACAGGATGCTAGACTAGGTGGGCCACCGATCCAATCCACTGGGGTTATTTGAATGTTCTTATCTTGAGAACTTCACAGCATACAGAACAGTTGCAGCCATATCCAAATGCGGTGAGGAACCAGGGACCCTCCAGATGTTAAAGGTAAAGGTAAAGGGACCCCTGACCATTAGGTCCAGTCGTGACCGACTCTGGGGTTGCGGCGCTCATCTCGCTTTATTGGCTGAGGGAGCCGGCGTACAGCTTCCGGGTCATGTGGCCAGCATGACTAAGCCGCTTCTGGCGAAACCAGAGCAGCGCACGGAAACGCCGTTTACCTTCCTGCCGGAGCGGTACCTATTTATCTACTTGCACTTTGATGTGCTTTCAAACTGCTAGGTTGGCAGGAGCAGGGACCGAGCAACGGGAGCTCACCCCGTCGTGGGGATTCGAACCGCCGACCTTCTGATCAGCAAGTCCTAGGCTCTGTAAATTCTATCAACCTCAGCCAGCATGGCTGATAGTCAAGGATGTTGGGAGTTGCAGTCCAACAACATCTGGAGGGGGGGGCAGGTTCTCCACTTCTGATATACCACCGGCAGATCATTGCAAAAAAACACAAGGAAGAACACAACCTTCTCCATTCTATTCACACACCATGCATTTCTACTAAAGTCTATTTTATCATCACCTCTTTATTCCACTTTTCCTCCAAGGAGCTCAAGGTAGCATATATATGTCCCTTCATTTTGTCCTCACAACAACCCTGGAAGGTAAGTTGGACTGAGAGATGAAAATGACTGGTCCAAGCACACTGAGTGAGTTTTGTGGCTCTGTGAGAAAATTGACTCTCCCTTGTGTTATTTTTAACTACTCTAACAGCTACACCCCAGACTTGTAACCCAGATATTGTACCACCTTTACCTTTAACAATGCATAGCCAGTGGAAGATGGGGCTCTCTGCCCAGTTCCTTCCATCACCCATCCTTCTCTCTGCAGAACTGTTGTTCTGCTTGGTTTAATAGACAAACTTGTTTCAGCCACCCTTTTACAAACACAGTGATATAAACATGTGGATTTCACAGGTCACTAGAATGCCCAAAGCATTTTTCATTCATTAGCTCACCTGTCCTTAGCACAGCCCTGCAAGGTAGGTCAGTATTATGTTGTCCCCCATTTTGCAGATGTGGGGGGTGGGGTGGGGGGTGGCAGCTAGTGCAAATCCTTCAGGCAGGACCAAGAACTGGACCATACATCAGTCCGCGTTCCAGTCCTTTCCTACAGCTGCGCAGAGCTGGACTGGCGTCAGCTGCTCTCAGGATGGCGTATTGATTTTTGGAAACAGTTCATTTATAACCATTGGGTAGTTGAACTTTCACCCTGTCATTTCCTCCTGATGTTTCTGGGAATTGCTGGAGAGAGGGCTTTGGGGCTTATTTAACAGGAGGTTACAGGAGCCGAGCGACAGCAGGCAAGGCATGTTGGTGGTTTAACACACACTTGCCTTCCTGGCGAGGGTTTGGCGAGGGCAGCTAGCCCAGGCAGAAGGTGGCACCGGCTACAGGCTTGGCTGGAGGAAAACTGACAAAGTGGGAGTTTAGCCACAGGCCAGCATTATTATTCTTTCCCAGTTTGGTTTAGTTTTTAGCCACAGGTGGGCTTAGCCCATGTCCGAGATTTCCATTGTTCTATACAGCTCAGCAAGTGGATGCCAAACTGAAAAATCTGCGTGCCAAATGGCAAAAGCTCTTCGCAGGCTGAGTTGTGAGATCTTAATGGGTGCTAGATTTCACTTGAAGGTGCTTTGACATTTATAGATGAATTTGTATATCTATATTTAGCTGTATAAGCAGTGGTGGCTGGAGCACATTGAGGCTGGTAGGGTGGAAAGCGGGGAGCTCAACAGCAGGTGAAATCAAAGACAATGAATGACAAGCAGTGCCACTCCCTGGACCTGCTGTAAGTAAGAAGACAGGCAGGTGGTGGCTGGCTGAGGACAGACTGAGGCTGGTGGAGCAGTGCCCCATTTACCCCTCATAAACTTGCCCTGCCTATAATGCAATTCTCTTTAGCCCAGGGATGAGCAACCTGGGGCTCTTCAAGATGTCAGGTAAAGGTAAAGGGACCCCGGACCATTAGGTCCAGTCATGACCGACTCTGGGGTTGCGGCGCTCATCTCGCTTTATTGGCCAAGGGAGCCAGCGTACAGCTTCCGGGTCATGTGGCCAGCATGACTAAGCTGCTTCTGGCGAACCAGAGCAGCACATGGAAACACCGTTTACCTTCCCGCCAGAGCAGTACCTATTTATCTACTTGCACTTTGACTTGCTTTCGAACTGCTAGCTTGGCAGGAGCAGGGACCAAACAACGGGAGCTCACCCCGTCGCAGGGATTCGAACCGTGACCTTCTGATTGGCAAGCCCTAGGCTCTGTGGTTTAACCCACAGCACCACCCACTGGATTGCAACTCCCATCAGCCTCAGTCAGCACTGTCAATGAAGAGGGGTGATGGGAGTTGTAGTCCAACAACATCTGGAAGGCTGTAGGATCCCCATTCGTGCTCTGACACTGTGCTGAACAGAGTCCTTAAAAACCCCCCAATAAGGTTATGGAGGTCTTCCAAAGCAGACCAGACAAGCACCTGCCTAGGATGTTAGCACAGGGATCCTTACACTATAGAATACAGAGCCAGAGGCATGGGATTCATATAACCTGTTTGCTCTGTTCAGCCACTGTGATCCCAAGGTTTGACACAAGCTGCTGCCTTAAATGGATGCTTGGTTCCATTTAGACCAGCTCTGCCTGTTCTGATGGGCGGCAGCTCTCCAAGATTGCAAGCAAAGGTCTTTCCTCGTGCTGTTACTGCTGAGATGCTTTAAATTAGGTGCTAGGGATCGAGCCTGTCAGACAAAGCACCTGCCCAGTGCTGGGCCAGTCTCCTTCAGCCAGATGTCCTTTCCCTCATCAGGAGGCCTGTCAGTACCTTGGGATGGCACAAGCCAGGAGGAACCGCTCTCGAGAGGCCAGCAGGGTATCTGCACCTTCAAAATATTTGTGTCTCAGAGTGACTCACAGCTCTGATCCTTTAAACACCTACTTGATGCTAGCAACCCTGCACACAAGAGGCCATTGCTGGGGAGAGGGGAGTCTGTTACGACAGAACTGATAAGGCCTGAGTGTTGACAGAAGCAATAACGAGGCCTGTCCACTTCTGCTCATTATCAGGTGGCGGCAGGGATCATTCTGGAATGCAAAGGGAGCGAAGGCAGCATGTGCAGATCAACACGCTCTCATTCCCTGGATTCTCTCCGTTATGAGGACCTTTGGAGAATGAGAACTGCTGCACAGTCCTGACTTGGGAGAGGGGAATCCCATCATTTAACAATGCTGGCTGCATTCTTCACACATGGGCAGTTTGGGTGCGCTAAACATGCTTTCCTCTGTAAGATGTTCAATGCATTTTTGTTTTGCAGACTGATTAGCTGTACCCAGTATTCTGCTGCGCAACTCCTCCTATCCTCCAAATGGCTTGGCGTTAGGTGCAGGTCACAAAGGATTTGCAGTCCAACAGCCTAATCCTATGGTCAGCCGTGCCCATCAAAGCCTAGGCAGAATCAGGTCCTATTATGACCATGAATTTCTTAATCGCCTTCTGAGCCACCGTCCAAAGGTGATTTACACATAAATCATAGTATTACCCTGCAGGCAAAGTCCATGGAAGGAATTCTGTGTCAGTTTGCATGAATGGGGTGGCAGGTCTATGTGTAGGTATGTCAGGACCAATTGCAAATTTCTGGTAGCTGAAAGATAACCAAGAAAGGAAACCTTTTAGAGCTTTCCCCAACCAGGTGCCCTCCAGATGTTTTAGACTACAATTCCCACCAGCTCCTGCTGGCACATTTTGACTGCCACCAAAGGAGGCATACTCCAAAACGTATGGAGGGCACCAGGTTGCCGAAGGCTGGTGCGTGTATGAGATTTCAGCGTAAGTAGAAACATGCTGGTCCTCTTTTTCACACCCATTCCATCTTCCTAATGCAGTTAGGTAGATCAGTATCTGGGTTTATTTCTAAGAACAATTATGTCTACCTGTATTTATACTCAGGTAGGTAGCCGTGTTGGTCTGACGCAGTCGAAATATATATAAAAATTAAAAAAATGTCCAGTAGCACCTTAGAGTCCAACTAACTTTGTTCTTGGTATAAGCTTTCGTGTACGTTTTGGAGTATGCCTCCTTTGGTGGCAGTCAAAATGTGTCAAATTATTTTTATATCTATCTATTCTATCTATCTATCATCTATCATCTATATCTCGACTGTATTTATACTGTTGGGACCCAAGGACTGAAGGCTACGTGGATGGAAGACACACGGCCTCCAGTCTAGCCTAAACAGCGCTCATTCATTTATTGTGATAGCTGATCCACAAAGCAGTGAACTAGCTCTCTGCACATGCTCAGATGCACCCCTGCCGTTTGCAAATTCCGGGCTCGTTCCTAGCTCCATTCATGCCACGCTCACCTCCATTCATTCCACACCCCCCCCTCCTGCCTTTCGCTTCCGTAGGCGTTACAGTTCCCCGGAGATCTCGCAAGCTCCTGTTTTCTTCAGGAGGATGCTGGGAGTTGCAGTGTCGAGGAGGATGACCCTTCCTAACTGCTGGGGGTATTGCGGGAGGGGAAAGACTACAGCTCCCAGCAGCCACCGCACAGGAAATGGGAGAGGCACGTGGCCCGAACCGAGCATTGTAGGTAAAGTAGACCGGGAGTCTGCGGAGGGGGCGGGAGGGGGGTTCATTCACTCAGCTTTCATTGGCATAATTTAGTTTAGACAATATAGTGATGGAGGTGGGGAGGTGGTGCAGATGGGATGAGAAAAAGACGACATTTGTTTTTTAAGTGTTTAAATCAAAACATTTTTGCGTTTGCACATGGCTTGCAAAGCTAATTTTCCACCTGTCGGGGTGCAAAGCGCCCCGCGGATAACGAGAAAGTAATGGCTAAATCACACCAAACATCCATGATAATCTAATCCGGCAGCTTTGCGACCCAGCGGCAGCCAGTCCGTTGTCCTCGGGACGTTCACAAGCAAGGCATGTTTTAGGCAGCTGTCTCCCCTGTTCTTTGTCTCCAGGGTCTGCTAATCTCAGGTATACTTCCTTTGAACATGGAGGTTCCTTTGTTAGCAGTACAGCTTTATAGCCCCAGACTGCTGTATCCTCTGGTGTCTCTTTATTTTTGGCCACTGCGTCCTCAAATCACCCTGCAGTATCTCGCCTGAGTCTTGGATGGTTGGCTGCTGCCAACTATTTCCTTTCGTCTTTCCCTTTTATCTGTCACCATTGTGGCTTTCATTTTATTTATTTTTGGATTTATACCCCGGCTTTCCTCCAAGGAACACCCATAGTTCTCCCCCTCTCCACTGTATCCTCACAACACCCCTTTGAGGTAGTCGAAACAAAATAATAATAAAAATAAATTCCTTCCAGTAGCACCTTAGAGACCAACTAAGTTTGTTATTGGTATGAGCTATCGTATGCATGCACACTAGTTGGTCTCTAAGGTGCTACTGGAAGGATATTATTATTATTATTATTATTATTATTATTATTATTATTATTTTGACTATGGCAGACCAACACGGCTGTTGTTGTTGTTTAGAAGTTTAGTCATCTCCGACTCTTTGTGACCCCATGGACCAGAGCACGCCAGGCACTCCTGTCTTCCACTGCCTCCCGCAGTTTGGTCAGACTCATGCTGGTAGCTTCAAGAACACTGTCCAACCATCTCGTTCTCTGTCGTCCCCTTCTCCTTGTGCCCTCCATCTTTCCCAACATCAGGGTCTTTTCCAGGGAGTCTTCTTCTCATGAGGTGGCCAAAGTATTGGAGCCTCAGCTTCACAATCTGTCCTTCCAGTGAGCACTCAGGGCTAATTTCCTTCAGAATGGATAGGTTTGATCTTCTTGCAGTCCATGGGACTCTCAAGAGTCTCCTCCAGCACCATAATTCATGTCCATGGAGTTTTCTTGGCAGGGATACTGGAGTGGCTTGCCGGTTCCTGCTCCAGGTGGATCACGTTTGGCCAAAACTCTCCACTATGACCTTGTCCATCTTGGGTAGCCCTGCACAGCATAGCTCATAGCTTCTCTGAGTTATTCAAGCCCCTTCACCACTGCAAGGCAGTGATCCATGAAGGGGACCAACACGGCTACCTACCTGTAACTAAACCGTTGAGGTAGGTTAGGCTACGAGGCAGTGACGGGCCCAAGCTTCCTGGTTGGCTTGGGATTCGAATTCTGTTGTCCAAGGTCTAACAGTTACACCATGCTGACTTTTATTTTTTAGAATGGCATCAGTTCAAGCTCTTGTACCTAAGGCTAAGGAATGGGAAGCAGGGAGCAAGTACAGGCCAGGGAAACTGGAGGGGGCTTGCGTAGCCTTGACCCAGATGTTATGAATTTGAAAGTAGCCTTGGTTGATCAGTGGCACTTCTGTATCTTTAAGGTTGCAATCTTCAGCAGGATTAAAAATGCAATTCTACCCCGCCATGTTGATGGCTGATGGGGTTGGGTGGTGTGCATTTGCCTCTCCAGTTGGCAGAGAGGGCCAATGTTGGAGTGTGTGTGTGTGTGTGTGTCTGCCTGCTGTACCAGCAAGTCTGCCTCTATCCAAGTGGGCAGTAACTACCAGCAGTGTAAAGCTCTGAAGCATTGTGGGGATAGAGTGATGGCAGGCTTTGGTCCCAAGTCCCATGGATGTCCTGAAGCTGGCATGGTGAAAATTATGGGACCGGAATGCCTTCCATTCTGTCCTGGCAAGCACAAACCGTGAAGGGCTTCAAATGTGAAGGATCTGCTTGCTCCATACAGTCATACCTCAGGTTGAAGTAGCTTTGGGTTGAGCATTTTCGGGTTGCGCTCCGCGGTGACCCGGAAGTAACAGAGCGCGTTACTTCCAGGTTTCTCCGCTTGCACATGTGCATACTCTCAAAATGACATCATGCGCATGCGCAGAAGCGGCAAATCGCAATCCGCGGACACGGGTTGCGTTCGCTTCAGGATGCAAACGGGCTCCGGAACGGATCCCGTTCTCATCCAGAGGTACCACTGTATATCCGTGGCCTTTCATTAACTTGTTATGTTAACTGTACTCTGACCTGTTCATCCTAAAGTCGGCTGACCTTTTCAGGTTCATGCGTAAGTTGGCCAACTTCTAAGTAGGAAAATGAGAACTTTAAAAATCAAAATTCTGTGTCAAGCTAACCAAACCCTGCAAGAGGAGAAGCTACGTGTTTTCAACTAATTTTCAGGTTTTGTTTTATTTAAAAAAGCATAATGTTCTGCATAATTAACAGTGCAGTTAATTTTGCAGTTGCAATTTTCATGGGGAGGGGCATTGAATTTCTGCTTGTTCCCTCCTGCAAATCTTGATCAGCTGCTCCTCTGGCTTTTGAGATTTTTTTAACCAAATGTTCATAGAATCCCAGAATCATAGGGTTGGAAGGGAACCCAAGGGTCATCTAGTCCAACCCCCCCTGCAATGCATGTTGAACCATGAGTGCTAGAAACATGCCTTTAAAAAAATGAAGGTTGATTCGATCAGATATTGGCCATATACCCATGAGAGCTAGAAGCATTAAACAAGAAGAAGATAAAGAATTATATTCTCATGGAGCAGAGTGCTGTGCTCAATATTGTTTTCGGTCTTTTCCTCATTGACAGTAGCAGTTCAGCCTGAGAGTTCTGATAAAAAAAGTAAATGCCTGAAAATGCTCTATATACCCCTCTCTGGTGAAAATAGACAAGGTTGGAGAAAGCTTGTCAATTTCACCCAATGCTGATTTCTTTCAACTTTCCTTTTCCTTCCTTCTGGCAGAACTGCAGCTGGGAGGTTAGTGACTTATAATGTCAGTGGTGATGCACCGTCTTTTAAAAACTTAAAATAGCGTCTTATGCACCAGAGATGGCTTTGTGTGTGTGTGTAGTTTTTTTAAGGGTGGGGGTGGGGCAGGGAAAACAGCAACCCCACCAGTGAAATTGTCAAAAGATTTCCCCCAAAGTTATCAGTTTCACCAGAGACCAGACTGGGGGACTGGATGGTTGAAATACCATTTAAAATCCACATTCCTTCATGTCCATCAATCAGTTTTAAAAATCTGATTACAAGCACACGCACACATGCATTCCAACAGGGGGCTGGGGGTGTCGATTGTGCTTTGTGGCATGTGTGAAATTGGTCATGGATATCGCAAATGTATACATTTTTTATTATAGTATACAAATATTAAGTCCCTGCTGCTATCATTTCCAGTTTTAAAAACTTAACCAATGAATGGAAAATCTCAGGGGATACTGGTGCACTTGTGAGCTCTTTCTCCTTAAGGTACTGTACAGAGTTGGTGTTCCTTCAGCGGCATTGAACAAATACAGCTCTGGTGCTAGGTGCAAAACAGCTGCCACTTTTTTTTTTATTGGACAGAGGCCCTGTGCTTTTAACAGCAACACAGCTGGCACAAATACAACAGGTAAAGCTTCACCTGCCTCTATCCATCAAAGAGTGGCAACTGTAGATTCAGTGCCATGCTAAGTTAGTTGCCATGCCTGTTGTGGGTTAGTGGCCAGAGGGCTAGGATAATACCTGGGAGGTAAAGGTAAAGGGACCCCTGACCATTAGGTCCAGTCATGACTGACTCTGGGGTTGCGGCACTCATCTCGCTTTATTGGCTGAGGGAGCCGGCATACACTTTCCGAGTCATGTGGCCAGCATGACTAAGCCGCTTCTGGCAAACCAGAGCAGCGCACAGAAACACTGTTTGCCTTCCCGCCAGAGTGGTACCTATTTATCTACTTGCACTTTGACGTGCTTTCGACTGCTAGGTTGGCAGGAGCAGGGACCGAGCAACGGGAGCTCACCCCATCACAGGGATTCGAACCACTGACCTTCTGATCAGCAAGTCCTAGGCTCTGTGGTTTAACCCACAGCGCCACCCGCGTCCCAAACCATGGAGACCAGGGTTCAAATCCCTGCTCAGCTGTAAAACTCACAGGGTAACCTTGTGCCCGTCGGTCAGTCAGCCGAAACCTACCTCACAGGGTGGTTGTGAGGAAAGGCGGGATACAAATGGAATAAACCAACAAACCCATTAGCACTAGGAGGGCATGTTGTGGATGATGACTTCAAGTCTCATCATAAAAAGATGACCAAAGTGTTCTTTCTCTCCACTTCTCCAATTTTAAAGGGTACCATATTTTTTGCTCTATAAGACTCACTTTTTCTCTCCTAAAAAGTAAGGGGAAATGTGTGTGCGTCTTATGGAGCGAATGCAGGCTGCGCAGCTATTCCAGAAGCCAGAACAGCAAGAGGGATTGCTGCTTTCACTGCGCAGCGATCCCTCTTGTTGTTTTGGCTACTGAGATTCAGAATATTTTTTTCTTGTTTTCCTCCTCCAAAAACTAGGTGCGTCTTACGGTCTGGTGTGTCTTATAGAGCGAAAAATACGGTACTTTTCATCTGGAACACTGAGATTTTAAGGACGATTTTAAGAGGTCCTTCCCTTCTCATCTGGAACACTGAGAATGTGAACGTGCTCCTGTGATGGGTATAGAAGGATCGCCGGGAAGTTTTACTGTAGAAACTTGAGACCAGGACAATCCCATTCACCTGCTGAGGAAATGCAACCCCTCGAATGACCCTTTGTAGGGGAGATGCCCTCCTGCTCCCCACCCCCTTCTCCCAAGCCCCTTGTTAAATGCTCAGGCATGCTGGGACGCCACTGCCTGCGAATGGGATGCTGTTAATTTGTGCTCTGGGAGCACGGAGTTCTCAGGCTGTTAACATCCGGAGCTTCGTAGATTTACACCCCGTGCAGTTGGCAAGGCAATTAAATCTCTCAGCAGCCACGGCTTTTATGAGATGACGTTCCTTCTGAGGATTTGAAATAAGGCTAAGGAGAGGGAGGGCCCTATTTTCACACACTGCCCCTCTGAGGAAAGGGGGGGCAAGTGGGTATCCCTTTCCTACCAGATAATTTTTGGATTTGCTCCTTTCCCCTTTGCAGCGTTCCCCCCCACCCAAAACGTAGCTGACTGTGATCAAGGGGGAAGCATGGACTCTTTAGGAGAGCACTGTGAGACTCTTGAATGTTCAGTTTATTGAAAGACCAAGCGCCCGGTCCTCATGGTTGCTTTGGAAAACAATGTCTATGCAGACAGGAGTTGTGCCTGCATGACCAGAAATGTACCAACCTGCATGGCAGATAGGCATGATGGGAGTGTGGGTATTTGTAGCAGCATGACAGAAGGTTTCATTAGTGCAGGGCTGCCTAGGCAGACCATGGATAGCTGACAGTGCAAAAAGCATCTTGCCCATGAGCAGGACGGGGCGGCGGTTAGGACTTCCATTCATCAATGCAGTGCCCTGCTGTGGTCCCAATAGATCGATCAAGCCTCAGTCTCAGCACTGTATACCTTACCCTCCAACATTTCTCCAATGAAAATTGGGACACCCTATTCCATTATTATTATTATTGTTATTATTATTATTACTACTACTACTACTACTACCCCACCCATCTGAGTGGGTTTCCCCAGCCACTCTGGGCAGCTTCCAGCTTATCTATCTATCTATCTATCTATCTATCTATCTATCATCTATCTGTCTATCTCCTTCAGATGACTTCTAAAGGTTGTATAGTTACTTATCTCCTTTGCTCAGGGGTTGCATAACTACATACCCTTCAATGAAAATAGGGACATCCTAAGGAAAAGTGAAGGGATGTGGGTGGCGGTGTGGGTTAAACCACAGAGCCTAGGACTTGCCGATCAGAAGGTTGCCAGTTCGAATCCCCACGACGGGGTGAGCTCCCGTTGCTCGGTCCCTGCTCCTGCCAACCTAGCAGTTCGAAAGCACGTCAAAGTGCAAGTAGATAAGTAGGTACCGCTCCGGTGGGAAGGTAGACGGCGTTTCCGTGCGCTGCTCTGGTTCGCCAGAAGTGGCTTAGTCATGCTGGCCACATGACCCGGAAGCTGTATGCTGGCTCCCTCGGCCAATAAAGCGAGATGAGCGCTGCAACCCCAGATTCGGCCACGACTGGACCTAATGGTCAGGGGTCCCTTTACCTTTAAGGAAAAGTGGAGACATTCTGGGATCAAGTCAGAAACCAGGGCAGCTTCTGTAAATCTGGGACTTTCCCTGGAAAATATGGACACTTGGAGGGTCTGGTATGGTTGATCCATGGGCGAGGTAATAATAATAATAATAATAATAATAATAATAATAATAATAATAATAATAAAATCTTCTCGGCCAGTGTTCTTCAGACAGGGGGGTGGATGTTCCTGCCTGCAGGTGGTGATGTGAAACAAGCAAAATTGGGTGCAGTTTTGCAACTGTAATTGGCAAGAGCCCTATTACCAGTGGTGGGCAGTGCGCATTGAGAGTGGCAGAGCAGAAGTCGGGGAGACGAACAAGAGGTGCAGCCAGAACCAATGGCAGACGTAACCACAGCCAACAATAGGCAGAGTCAACCAACCCTAGTATTTCCCCATTCTCTTCCCTGCTGAATTCTAAGGTCACATTCATGCCATACATCTAAAGAGCTATGAGGCCACATTAAACAACCCTGGCTTCCCCCAGGCTATTGTGTGAGTTGTGGTTTGTTAAGGGTGCTGAGATTTGTTAGGAGGCCCCTATTCTGTTCCCAGAAGAACTCTGGGAATTGTAGCTCTTGGAAGGAACAACTTTCAGCATCCTAAACTAACTACAGATCCTAGAATTCTTTGGGGAAAACCATGAAGAGGCATGAGTAAGAGTGGCAGGGAAGTGTGTATAGTGAGTACATTCAAAAGTGAATTATTCCCCAGAGATGATGGGAAAAGCAGTGCCAACAACAGTAGAAGGGCATTAGGCAGATTTCTTAGTAATGACCTGAGCAGTGTGCCGTCAACTTGTTTGCTCCTATATATTTACTAAGTAGAGACATCACCTTGCCAACAAAGGTCCGTATAGTTAAAGCTATGGTTTTCCCAGTAGTGATGTATGGAAGTGAGAGCTGGACCATAAAGAAGGCTGATCGCCGAAGAATTGATGCTTTTGAATTATGGTGCTGGAGGAGACTCTTGGGAGTCCCATGGACTGCAAGAAGATCAAACCTCTCTATTCTGAAGGAAATCAGCCCCGAGTGCTCACTGGAAGGACAGATCCTGAAGCTGAGGCTACAATACTTTGGCCACCTCATGAGACGAGGAGACTCCCTGGAAAAGACCCTGATGTTGGGAAAGATGGAGGGCACAAGGAGAAGGGGACGACAGAGGACGAGATGGTTGGACAGTGTTCTCGAAGCTACCAGCATGAGTTTGACCAAACTGCGGGAGGCAGTGGAAGACAGGAGTGCCTGGTGTGCTCTGGTCCATGGGGTCACGAAGAGTCGGACACGACTAAATGACTAAACAACAACAATTTACTAAGTAAAGAGGGTAGATAATGTTTTCTTTTAATTGGGAAACTAAAAACTTGGGGAGGATGGTTCAAATGTTGCAGAGAGAGGCCCCTGCATAGTGCACCCCTGAGTGTCTCTCAGATTGTTTCCTTTTCTGCCGCCCCAACTGAATGCTTGGACTGTTTGATTGGTCAGTGCTACCCTACTGCTGCCGTATGATTCCTTGCTAAGGAATCTAGACTAGGAACGGGGCAGCTGTGTGTCACCAGATGTGGTCGAACTCCAGCTCTTATCAGCTCCAGCCAGCATGGCCAACGGTCAGAGATGATGGGAAATGTAGTCCAGCAACATCTGTTGGGCCATGGGTGCTCCATCCCTGTTCTAGATCCTGCAAAAGCTCCAAATCTGATCCTAGATTCGGTGCAGAGTGCGGCACTATGTAAAATCAACTTGTCAACTCTCGGTGTCATTTACTAGCTTACATACCTTTGAGTTTGGGGGATGCAAATGTGGAATTATTTTGGAGGGGAAGGGGCACACAGAGCAGGAGCAAAGAGCCTGGCTTATGGCCCAGTGAACGTTCAGACTCCTAGTATTCACCTGCCAGCGAGCCCTTTGTGAGCTAATTTTCTCTCTCCTGAATTGTGGCTCTTGAGTTTTATTTTCTCTCTCTCTCTCCAAGATTGCAAGTGAGCACACGTGTGGAGGTGGTTGTCTTTCTTTAATCACAGCACAGAGCATTTATAGGTTATTTACAGTAATGTTTTGTATCTTGAGTGAATGCTTTACTAATTATGGTAATAAAAAAGGCAATAAAATGAACATTCCCCATGGAGGAATATATTTGGAGGCCTCGTCTGGTTCACTTGTAAGCAGAGCTATGATAGAAATCGCTCATTCACTCGGTGGGGTAAGAAATAAGGCTGTTAAGGAATAGGCTGCAATGGATTGAGGCGTGACATACCGAGTTTTACCATTTACGAGGCAGGCCCCGGTACTTATAAGAGACTGGGTGGTTGGAGAAGATAAGGGAAAACAGGCAGGTGGAGTTTGGTCTGAATTCTGCTTCAAGGGGTAGTTGGATAGGATGGTCAACCAGTTTCAGCTTGCTACTCCATGACCCCCTCCAAGTGCTTTAAACACCTGTATTCAACTGGTGATACTATTTCCTACCATGGAGCTGCAGCAATTGGGGAAAGTGATATCTGTTGCATTTCTCCCTATTGTATGCAGATGTTAAACCATTCTTCCAGAAAAAATTAGCAAACCTTTACCTACTTAAAGGTAAAGGGACCCCTGACCATTAGGTCCAGTCGTGACCGACTCTGGGGTTGTGGCACTCATCTCACTTTACTGGCCAAGGGAGCCGGCGTTTGTCTGCAGACAGCTTTCGGGTCATGTGGCCAACATGACTAAGCCGCTTCTGGCGAACCAAAGCAGCGCACGGAAACGCCGTTTACCTTCCTGCCAGAGCGGTACCTATTTATCTACTTGCACTTTGACGTGCTTTCGAACTGCTAGGTTGGCAGGAGCAGAGACCGAGCAACGGGAGCTCACTCCGTCGTGGGGATTCGAACTGCCGATCTTCTGATCGGCAAGTCCTAGGCTCTGCGGTTTAACCCACAGCACCACCCGTGTCCCCTTTTTACCTACTTAAGGTGGTTTTATTGACAAACTTTCTCACTTTCCACTGTATGAACAAACTGAAATTCATTCACATCATAGCAAAACCTCAGTGAAGATTTATCTTAAGGTGAAACAAAGAACTACCAGCCATTGTCACAAGGCAAGACCATATTTAATAGTGTCTGTGTTTTCACATTGGGAAATAGTTTTATTTAGTAAACTTGTGCACTGCTTTTTTTTATTTTAAAAAAGCACATTACCCCAAAGTGGTTTGTTTATAAGCCACAGGTCAGGCGTAATAAAATACAATTTAACACCTTACAACATGAAAAGCCTTCAAAGCGTTATTTTAAAACACTACTAAAAGTCAAGTGCTCCAGCACTAATTGGATATAATGTAAAAATATCCCGTTAAAGTAAAATGCTGGAGCCAAAATAGCTTTCGAAAAATCAAACCATCATGTTTCCCTGTTGATTTCAACAGGACACTTCAGTGGGTGATAAGAAACAGTTTCATGACATGCCGCCACGTTGCGGAAGCCAAGTGTTGGGAGTGTGCTTCTAGGGGTGTCTCCTGGCTTCTCAAGAAAAGACTCAGCCAGGTAAGTGGAGCAAGAACAGAATTTATTTTATTTCACGTGTGTGCCTTCCCTATTTACCTGGATACTCCCTGCATTCTAATACCTGTCCGGAACATAGAAAGCTGCCTTCTACAAGGTCAGACTATTTGCCCATTTCAGTGGTACCTCGGGTTAAGTACTTAATTCGTTCTGGAGGTCCGTACTTAACCTGAAACTGTTCTTAACCTGAAGCACCACATTAGCTAATGGGGCCTCCTGCTGCTGCCGCGCCGCCAGAGCGCAATATCTGTTCTCATCCTGAAGCAAAGTTCTTAACCTGAATTTCTGGGTTAGCGGAGTCTGTAACCTGAAGCGTATGTAACCTGAAGCGTATGTAACCCGAGGTACCCCTGTATTCTATTATACTCTGGCTCTAGCAACAGTTCTTCAGCAGAGAGGCTTTTACATAGTGTGCTACCCGAGAGCCTTTTTAAATACAGAGATCCCATCATTGAACATGAGAAGCTTTGCCTGCAAAGCAAGTACTCTTCCTCTGAACGATGGTCTCTTGCCTGTTCCAGGGAACCAGGCAGAGGGCCTTCTCAATACTGGCACCCTCCCTGTGGAACACCCTCCCATCAGATGTCAAGGAAATAAACAGCTATCCGACTTTTAGAAGATATCTGAAGGCAGACCTGTTTAGGGGAGTTTTTAGTGTTTGATTTTTATCTTGTTTTTAATATTCTGTTGGGGGCTGCCCAGCCAGATGGGCAGGGTGTAAACAACAACAACAACAATTATTATTCCTACCCAAACTTGCTTTGTTTTCTTGTGCAGGAATGCCATCTTAATTTATAGTTACTAGTGTTGTCGTTCGTCAGTGTACAGATTCCTGCCCTCTTATCCAGGGAGTTTCATATGTGCGTGGGCAATGAATGCATTCACTGGTTAGTGCCCATAGCCAAAAACGCACAGGCATGAGTTGTTAAGGTAAAACTCAGGGTAAAAGGTAAAGGGACCCCTGACCATTAGGTCCATTTGTGGATGACTCTGGGGTTGCAGCGCTCATCTCGCTTTATTGGTCGAGGGAGCCGGCGTACAGCTTCCGGGTCATGTGGCCAGCATGACTAAGCCGCTTCTGGCAAACCAGAGCAGCGCACGGAAACGCCGTTTACCTTCCCGTCAGAGCGGTACCTATTTATCTACTTGCACTTGACATGCTTTCGAACTGCTAGGTTGGCAGAAGCAGGGACCGAGCAATGGGAGCTCACCCCGTCGCGGGGATTCGAACTGCCAATCTTCTGATCGGGAAGCCCTAGGCTCTGTGGTTTAACCCACAGCGCCACCCGCGTCCCTTACCACTCAGGGTACATTTCACTTGTTAAAGCTGCCAAGGTCTTTATGAAGACCTTTGTGCTGATGTGCTTGTGCTCCAGTGAGAAATTAGGCTGGCTTGATCTGCCTCCAAAGAACGCACATCCCCACCAGCAGAATGTGGAACCTAATGTGGGTATCTGTATCATAGCTGTATAGCCCATATCCCACGACTCAGCCATCCATTCTCCGGCCCAGGAATCATAGAATTGTAGAGTTGAAAGAAACCCTAAGGGTCATCTAGTCCAACCCCCCTGCAATAAAGGAAGGAGCGTCTCCACCCCCATTGTTCAGTCCGGACACTGAGATCCAGCGCCGAGGGCCTTTTGGCGGTTCCCTCATTGCGAGAAGTGAGGTTACAGGGAACCAGACAGGGGGCCTTCTCAGTAGTGGCACCCACCTTGTGGAACACCCTCCCTTCAGATGTGAAGGAAATAAGTAGCTATCCTATCTTTAAAAGACATCTGACAGCAGCCCTGTTCAGGGAAGTTTTTAATATTTAACGCTGTATTGTTTTTAATACTTGATTGGGAGCTGCCCAGAGTGGCTGGGGAAACTCAGCCAGATGGGCGGGGTATAAATAATAAATTATTATTATTATTATTATTATTATTATTATTATTATTATTATTATCTCAACTAAAGCATCCATGGCAGATGGCCATCCAACCTCTGCTTTTCTCATTTACCAGGCAGAGCTCCGATGAACTCCTCAGAGGCTCCCGTGAGCTTTTTCGAGGGCGATGGTTTGGCCGATCAGTTTCTACACATAGAGCGAGAGCAGACCCTCCGCCTGAAGGAGCTCAGCTTCCTTGAGCCCGTGGAGTACGTTTACAACCCCTTGGAATACGCCTGGGAGCCCCACGAAGATTACGTGCGTCGATACTGTCAGTTCCGCAAGGAGGTGCTGTTTCTTGGTATGAACCCAGGGCCTTTTGGAATGGCCCAGACTGGGGTAAGAAGGCAAGCCGAGGTGGGGGAGAGTAATTTGAGCTTGACAGGATTTGCAACTTAATCTGCATCAGGGCTTCACCTCGTAAGCTCTTATTTAAGGCTGCGGGGCTCGGCCCTGGGCCACTTGTAGTAATAATAGGGAAGCGAGGGCCTTTGAACATGTTCAGAGTGCTGTTTTTATTACTTGGAGCAGTTGCAACAAGACTCCAGGCATCAGGGGTTAGTGGGAAGGATATTCGGATGAGACTTCAAGGCCTAGTATGTGGATCAACTTTAACAAATAACTCAGGCCTGTGTCTATGGCTCCCCATAAAGTCAAGATACTAGCCAAGTTTTCTGAGGCAGAAAATCCCCATTTTGCCCTCCCTGGCACTAAAAGTACAGTGGTACCTCAGGTTAAGAACTTAATTTGTTCTGGAGGTCCGTTCTTAACCTGAAACTGTTCTTAACCTGAGGTACCACTTAGCTAATGGGGCCTCCTGCTGCCGCTGCACCGCTGAAGCACAATTTCTGTTCTCATCCTGAAGCAAAGTTCTTAACCTGAGGTACTATTTCTGGGATAACAGAGTCTGTAACCTGAAGCGCCTGTAACCTGAAGCGTCTGTAACCTGAGATACCACTGTACAGTGATCATAATTTACAGCTTGCATGATGCCTAAAATCTGTTGCCTGTGGGGAACGCCTAACTTTGCCTAAGGGTAGGGCCGGCCCAAAGTCCTCTGCCATATACACAAGGCCCATACATATTACAAATGGAATAACTGCCAACCCTGACAGTTATATCAAGGTTTTTCTGCAGCTGACTTGGGGCTGAGCTGCAGGGCAATCCTATGCACATCTAACCGAGAAGTAAGCCCCATTGAGTTCAGAGGAGTCTCAGGTAAGAGTGTATGAAATTGGAGCCTTATACACTGTCTGTGCAGACGTGCCCATATGAGCAATCCCAGACATCCTTGCAATGTGGTCAGTAGTGAAGGCACAAACCATTGTAGCAGCTGCTTACTTTGTTCCTGGCCTTTGCTGCCCCATTTGCAGAACACGGTTCTCTGTGCAATGGGCTGGGACTGCTCATATATCCATAAGCAAAACGATCCATTTACCACGTTTTTGGGCAACTCTTTCAGAATAAGCACATTTTGCAAGATGCCAGCCATTTCCAAACGGTACGACAGGGATCCGCTGGTGTGGCTTGCAAGACCTGCTAGTGTGCCAGAAGAAGGAAGGTAATGTAATTTAAAAACCCAAAAAAACTCCTAGGAACCACTTCCAGCCATTCCTCCTCCCAATTGGCTTTCTCTGAGAGCAGGTGATTTTGCTAACCAATCGGGAGAGATTGAATTAAAAAAAGGTAAAGGACCCACAGAGCCTAGGGCTTGCTGATCAGAAGGTCGGCGGTTCGAATCCCTGCGATGGGGTGAGCTCCCGTTGCTCTGTCCCAGCTCCTGCCAACCTAGCAGTTTGAAAGCACGTTAAAGTGCAAGTAGATAAATAGGTACCACTCTGGCAGGAAGGTAAATGGCGTTTCCGTGCGCTGCTCTGGCTCACCAGAAGCGGCTTAGTCATGCTGGCCACATGACCCGGAAGCTGTACGCCAGCTCCCTCGGCCAATAAAGCGAAATGAGCGCCGCAACCCCAGAGTCGTCTGCGACTGGACCTAACAGTCAGGGGTCCCTTTACCTTTACCTTTAAAGGACCCATGACAGTTATGTCCAGTTGCTAACAACTCTGGGGGTTGTGACGCTCATCTCGCTTTATTAGCCGAGGGAGCCGATGTTTGTCTGCAGACAGTTTTTCCAGGTCATATGGCCACTTCTAAGCCACTTCTGGCGAAACCAGAGTAGTGCACGGAAAGGCCGTTTACCTTCCCGCCAGAGCGGTACCCATTTATCTACTTGCACTTTGACGTGCTTTCGAACTGCTAGGTTGGCAGGAGCTGGGACTGAGCAACGGGAGCTCACCCCATTGTGGGGATTCGAACCACCAACCTTCTGATCGGCAAGCTCTAGGCTCAGTGGTTTAGACCACAGTGCCACCCGCGTTCCATGAGATTGAATTACCCGCCCCTATTTGAGATCGCCCCCTGCAGATTTACACAAGTTACGGCTCCTGGTGTGTCTTCCCAGAGCAGCTGCCCAGTGACAAAATCACAGCACTGTGGAAGGTCCATAAGGAAAGCATTCTAAAAGGGGTGTGTGTGTTTTTAAGAATGAAATGTGGTTCCAGATTTAACTAACAAAAAACAGGTTAAAGTATATGACAGCAGTGTCCCACACCGAATGTAACTGAGCTGCAGAAAGGACTCTATGAATTGAAAACAGAGATGTTGTATGTATTCTTGCTATCTATGAAAATCCTTTAATAAAAACATTTTTTTAAAAAACAGGTTGCATCCAGTGCTAGTCCTACTCAGAACAGACCCATTAAAATTAATAGACATGACTCACTGAGGTTCATTAATTTTAATGGGTCTACTCGGAGTAGGACTAGCATTGGAGTGAAACCCAGTTCATTTTATGTGCTGCAGATCTGGGAAATGTATGGCTTTGAGTCCAGCAATGGCAATGTAAGCACCTGGTGTGCTAAAGGTTGTTGTTGTTGCAAACCACAGCAGCTAGATATAGGTATAACATAAAATCACAGTGGCTCTCTAACTTGTTTGGATGGTGGGGCCTCCAGCGCTCATCAGGTTGTCTGTCTGTGAAAAGGAACTCAGTGGTAGCGCCCACGATGGTGGGCGTTAATAAAATGACCCCAGGTAGAGATTCCTGGCCAGCTCTTGTGGGCGAACGAACTGCACGATTCCAGCGGAGATACTTCTCTGCTGAAGAACTCTTCCTTGTTATCTCTCTAGTTTCCTGCACGTGGCTTGGGCCTCGTGGGTGGAACTGGGGTGTCCTGACTTGTCCCATCGTAGCGGAGTCAGCACCCAGACATATAGCTTCGCGTCTGCTTTGATGCTGAGCCAGGAAAGGACAGGAGTAGGGAAATTGATAGGGTGGCAAAGTGCTTGCTGCGATATTGCGAAGACCTAGCTTAAACATGTATAGGTGGGTAGGTGTAAACTGACTGATTCTCTCCCCCCCCCCCACGCACGATGCTAGAAGCAGTTAGCTCTACGATGTGGATGTAGACACAACTCTGCTAAAGGGCAGCGGGTTGTGTGTGTAGGGGGGAAAGCTGTTTCTTTAACTTAAGCTATGATAACACAGGAATTAGTCTGGAGATCACAGAAAAACAACTGCTTCTGTTTTCTGTGGTCTGCCCACGCTGCAGACAAGCTGGTTTAATAGTCATTCCTCCTCCGTCTGAGGAATCCTAGGAATTATAACTGGGGGGGTTGGGGTTGGGGGGGGGACTCTAGCAAAATCTTCAGCACCCTGAGACAAAGGTGCTGAAGATCAGACCATTGTTCCATCTTGCTCAGAAGTTCCCAAACTTATTTGGCCTATCGCCCCCTTTTCAGGGGGGGGGGGAAGCACTCAGTGCCCCCATGGAAATCTACCTTCTTTAAGCGAACAAACAAAAAGATGCAGTGACAAATTTGTGTTCTTTTATGTACCGGTATCTGTATTTCTACATACAAGGGACGCGGGTGGCGCTGTGGGTTAAACCACAGAGTCTAGGACTTGCCGATCAGAAGGTCGGCGGTTCAAATCCCCGCCACGGGGTGAGCTCCCATTGCTCGGTCCCAGCTCCTGCCAACCTAGCAGTTCGAAAGAACGTCAGAGTGCAAGTAGATAAATAGGTACCGCTCCGGCGGGAAGGTAAACGGCGTTTCTGTGCACTGCTCTGGTTCGCCAGAAGCGGCTTAGTCATGCTGGCCACATGACCCGGAAGCTGTACGCCAGCTCCCTCGGCCAGTAAAGCGAGATGAGCGCTGCAACCCCAGAGTTGCAGGTTTGATCCCCATACGGTATAGCTGCATATTCCTGCCTTGCAGCGGGTTGGACTAGATGGTCCTTAGGGTGAGGTTACAGGGAACCAGGCAGAGGGCCTTCTTGGTGGTGGCGCCCTCCCATTAGATGTCAAGGAAATAAACAACTATCTGATTTTTAGAAGGCATCTGAAGGCAGCCCTGATTAGGAAAGATTTTAATGTTTTATTGCTTTTTTATTCTGTTGGGAGCAGTCCAGAGCGGCTGGGGAAACCCAGCCAGATGGGCGGGGTATTATTATTATTATTGTTGTTGTTGTTATTATTACTGAAATTATTATTATTATTATTAGTATTATTATTATTTACAAATGGTTTTTCAACATTTTATTTCTTCTTTCTTTATGCTTCCACCACCCCATGATTTTTAATCAACTCCTCCCAATTGCACCCAAGGCTACTACCTCCCCCCGGGATCATTCCAGCCCCCCCCCCCAGGGGGCAATATCAGCCACTTTGGAAACACTGATCTAGCTACATATTATCTACGCCAACTGGCAGAGGCTCTCCAGGATGTTCGGGGAGGAGTTTTTCCTAGTTCTACCTAGAGAGGCTGGGAAATTCTGCATGCTCTTTGAAAACTGAATTAAATCCCAAAGTCTTAGCATTCCAGTGGAGAGACCACGCATGGCATTAGAAGCCCCATTCCATGCTGCACACATGGTCACTTTCATTCTTATTTCCCTTTGGCCTGCCTTTTGAAAACCCAATCCATTTTGTGGCCTGTGTGAGCATTTAAATTTTATGGAGATCAGCGTCTGATAACGATAGATGGATTAGCCTCTCATCACGAAGGCTTATCCCACTCCCCTCCCCAAAGAAAAGATACCAGTAGATGCTTTTCAGAGCAGCAGCTGGGCTGAGCTGGAAACGAGGAGGAGAGGTCTGTATTTGGCTGGCCTGCACCGGAAGCTCCAAGAAAAACTTTAATAAAAACAATTTAAAAGAGAAGAAGCCCCTGTCTCTGTTGTCCACAATTAAGGCTTGTGAAGCAAAAGACTTCGCTGCACAGCCAGGTCCTCTGTAAGCTCATCTCACAGTCCTATATATGTTTACTACACAGAAGTAAGACTCATGGGGTCAATTAAGTTTCACTCAGAGGAGTCTTGTTGAAACTAATGAACAGGACTAAGTTAGGTCCATTGATTTCAGTGTGTCTGCTCTCAGCAAAATCGAGTTGAATACCACCCATGGTATAAGATCAGTTTTTCCCAACCTTGGGTCTCCAGCTGTTTTTGGACTACAATTCCTATCATCCTTGACCCACTGGTCTTGCTAGCTAGGAATGATGGGAGTTGTAGTCCAAAAACAGCTGGAGACCCAAGGTTAGGAAAAACTGCTTAGATGAATAATGATTCCCAAAACCCCATGAAACATCCATTTTTATACATCTACCCTTGACTTTCCTACTTATTATTGTTGTTTATATCAGGCATAGGCAAACTCGGCCCTCCAGATATTTTGGGACTACAACTCCAATCACCCCTAGCTAATAGGACCAGTGGTCAGGGATGATGGGAATTGTAGTCCCAAAACATCTGGAGGGCCAAGTTTGCCTATGCCTGATTTATACAGTGGTACACTGTTAAGAACAGCCCTGTTTACAAACTATTTGGTTTACGAACTCCGCAAAACTGGAAGTAGAGTCCCGGTTTGCAAACTTTACCTCGGTCTAAGAACGGAAGCCGAACGGTGGAAGGGCACTGGTGGTGGGAGGCCTCATTAGGGAAAGCATGCCTCGTTTTAAGAACGGTTTCGGTTTAAGAACGGACTTCCAGAACGGATTAAGTTTGTAAACCGAGGTACCACTGTATATGGCTTTTCTTCCAAAATGAATCTTACAGTGGCACAAGAACATAAAAGAGTCCTGCTGGAGGAGGCCAGGGGCCTATTTAGTCCAGCATCTTCTCACAGCAGCCAATTCCCTATGGGAATCACGCTAGCAGGATCTTGAGCAGCTATGCAAGGAAATAATTGTGGTACCCCCATGGAGTAATCTGGATTCTCTCTGTGGTGAAGATCCCTAGTGGAGGTTTCGCCATGAAGCTGTCTTCTTCTTTGTCTCTGAACAGCTGTCAGGGACTGTGCTGAGGAGGGCTGCACTGAATGGTGGGAGCCTCCCCTTCCCCCTGTTCCTGCTCCTAAATCTTTCCAGGAGCAAGAGGACAGTATAGATTTGGAACAGTGGTTTGAAGAGGGACATAGTTCAGAAGGCAGAAGCTGGGAAATACTGGATGGGGAACAGCTAGGAGAAGAAACACTGGAGGAGACAGGGTTAGCAGTTTCACAGTCTCTGGACAGCATTCCTCCACTCAACCCAAGGTCAAGAAGAGCTCAGAAAGTGTCAGAACAGAAAGCACAGAGGATATAAACTCAGATTACAAGATGTAGGAGTGACGTAGATTAATAGGGATGGAAGGGAGTGTAATCCTTAATTGGGAGCACCGCCATTTCTAGGAGATGTGTTCTTTGTTCTCTTGCTGTGATTATTAAAGTTTCTAACTGGTAAGATTAGCCGAAGCCTGACATCCGCCTAGTCTTGGGGCTACTTGCTAAGGACGTTGTGTTTTAACTTGTTTACTTCCCTTCTCTCTGAAATAGATTGATTTGGGGGCGCCTTTTCTGACAAATTGGGAGTCCCACAGAAATCCCAAAGCAAATGCAGATCTGTCAAAGCCTATGGAGTCAGACTCTTTCCCATCAGATCTTGATTCCTATGTGATGGTTCTTGCTCCCTTGCAGGTGCCCTTTGGAGAGGTGCAGCTGGTCCGAGACTGGCTCCAGGTCCGTGGGCAGGTGTCCAAGCCACCAAGGGAGCACCCCAAGAGACCTATCCGGGGCCTGGAATGCCCCCAGACGGAGGTGAGCGGCGCCCGCTTCTGGGGCTTCTTCCGCTCCTTGTGCGCCAGGCCCGAGGTCTTCTTCCGCCACTGTTTTGTTCACAACCACTGCCCGCTTCTCTTTCTTAGTCACAGCGGACGCAACTTGACTCCGGCCGACCTGCCGGCCGCCAAGCGGGAACAGCTCCTGCAGGTCTGTGACGACGCTCTGTGCGAAGCCGTCAAGCTCTTGGGCGTCAACATGGTGATCGGCGTGGGGCGCTTTGCTGAGCAGCGCGCCCGCAAGGCCCTGTCGGCTGCTGGGATCCCAGTGCGAGTCGAGGGGGTGATGCACCCATCGCCTCGCAACCCCCAGGCCAACAAGGGCTGGGATGCCATCATCCGAGCAAAACTGGAGGAACTTGGTGTGCTGGCTCTCCTTGTGGAATGATTGCTTGCGGAACCTCAGTTGCCCTTGGGTGACTTGGCCTCACATGCCAATCACACTGGATGTGCCAATGACTCTGGACTCATTTTTCATAGACCAGCCCAGGCTTGGGCTACGAAAGCTACTGTTCTATCATTGGGTTGACACTACCATTTTTTAACACTACTCTTTTTTTGTGCTCCTGAGATATACTCATAATTCACTTCTTCAGGTTCTTCTGGAGCCCCCTGTTGGGTCTTTCTGGAATTTGGGTTTCAAATTCATCTACATGTATTGGTGCTAAACTTCATCTGGGGTGATATCTGGCAGATCTTGTAGCAGCAGCTGCCACTCTGCTAGATGCTTCTGGCTCCTGCTGGCTTCTCCATGATCAAACTCATGTTAGACATTGAAGTGGGGAGTTTTGGCCCAGGGTGCTCAGTCTGGCTTTTTGCCAAACCTCTGTTCTTTGTGGGGGAGGCATGTTAACACATTAAGGTGTCTTAATAACCATTGGCTTAACTAGCCACCATGATGCCCTCCAGATGCTTTGGACTACAATTCCCAGCATCCCTGACCATTGGCCATTTTGAGTGCAACTGATGGGAGTCAGACTCCAACAACACCTTACAGGGCACTACGTTGGCTACTCCTGATCTAACCCATTGGTCAAAACCTGATCTAAGGTGGGTCTCAACACCAGCACTACCTCCATACACACACATTTCAAAAATATGTATATAATGAATAGGTCCCCAAACACATGTTTGTGTTAAAGGTGGGTCTCGTGTTGGAAAAGGCTGTGGGCAACTGGTCAAGCCCCCTTTTGCTTACTCTGTGTAGTTCTCTTAAGTTCAAGACCTGCCACCTGAGTGGAGATGTAGGAGAATTGCATGCAAAATCTTCCGTATGGCGGACGTGCCGTGTCACTGAGCTACAGCCCTCAGAGTTCAGGTAAATCAAGCAGGTGGGAATCAAAGTGGCCGCCTGGTCTAGGCACTTGTGGGGGCTGCCTCCCCATACCTTCTTCTCACGCAGCTTCAACTGGGGTGTGCACCCCCAAAAGACGTCACGGGGCCTGCTCATGGGCAGAGCGTATGGAAATGACGCCCACTCTCCTCTCTGCCAGAGCTGCTGGGCTGGAGAGGGTGACCCAGGGATGGAGGTGCATGGCTGGTAGCCTCTCTCCGCTGTGGTGGAGCTCCAAGTGGCATAGCCAAGGAGAAGGGTGGCAGACGCTCCACTCCACTCCCACGTCCTGCAGTTGGGCACGAGGAAGATGGGAGCCTCTTGTGAGGGTGCCTAGTCACTCCCCCTCCAGAAAATGTGCTCCGGGGCACGGCACACCCTGCCCTCCCCACACTGCACCCCTGGACCTGCTACCATGCCACTGTCGGAATCTCCACTCGGCCAAGCTGATAAAGCTCCATTTTCCGGCCGAGTCTCCGGAATCGCCTCCGACGAATAATTAACGACCTCGAGCCTTTGATGAGGCTCCAAGGCACATTCTATTCAGCAGAGTTCCCAGCACAGTGAAGAGACAAGAGGTTTGGCTACATGCTATGCTTTATTTCTAAGCTATGCAGAGAGCAGAGAAAAATACATCCTCTCTCTGTGAGAGCAACTGAACAAAGGAAACCGGAAACCACTAACGTCACATCCCGTCTCCCTTCTCCCGTGAGACTTCCAATAGCCTGGAATCCCTGGAATGTAAACAGAGTCCTGTGACTCCAAGCAGCTGCTCAGTGGCAAACAGAAACTAACAGCCACTGGGGTACAGCATGTTTGGTCCTTGGGGGTATATAGGCACGTTAGCCAAAATCTTCGCCATGAATTCGCACCAGGGTAAGAAGCGACTGGCCCCTAGGATGCATGTGGCCCATGGGGCCTCTTCTCTTTTAGTGTCAAATAAGAACTAGGTCTGTGCAAAGCAGCTTCATAAGTCATTTCTGGTCCAGCTGATTTAATCAGGTTTTTTTTTTAAAAAAAATATATTGGCATTAATTTCAGCTTTTTCCTTTTGGTTCCCTCCCACCTCTGTTAGGTTTCCATAACCAAACACAAAAGTGGGAACTTTTGCTTCCTGTTTATATCCAATGCTAGCAGATATTTTGAACTAGGTTGAAACCACTGTGGCTTCCCTTTGAGGAATAAGAATTGCAGACAACTCACAGCTGCAAGGGAGAGCTCTCCCTTAAAACCAGTTGTCTGGATCTTCTGCTTAATGCTGATTGTTCACTTCTTTTGAATCCACGTTGCTTCTGGTGTGTGATAAGGGAATATTCTACATTCCATAACCTTCTCTGGTGGGAAGAGAAAATATCAAAGTTGGCGTTGCCTTTGAACACTGAGCATTTATGTTTTTGTTGATTAAATTGTAAGTTACCTCACTCCCCAGGAAAGGTATGCTCGTCCTTTAGCAAACTTAAGAATATGTCAGAGGGTTGGCAGTATGCAAAATTTATTAAATGTAACTTGAATTTTGGAGATAAATTCCAGAGTTTAGCTGTGTAATGTGTGAAAATGCACTGTCTTTTGTCTGTCTTGAATCTTCCATCATTAAGCTTCATTGAATGTCCACGAATTCCAGCGTAATGAGAGAAGCAGGAAATGTTTTTTCTGTCAACTTCTTGCACATCATTTGTGTCTTATGCATATAATTCATGTCCCCTCACCCCCACCTCTCCTTTTTTCTGAACTAAAAAGCCCTGAATGTTGTAGGCTTTTCTGAATTGTTCCACCTCTTTGATCATTTTAGTTCTCCGTTTCTGAACCTGCAATATCCTTTTTGAGCTGAGGCAACCAGAACTGTTCATAGTATTCCAAGTGTGATTGCACCATAGATTTTCAAAAACAATTACATTTTCTGTCTCTTTCCTAATGATACCTAGTGTGGAATTTGTTGAATTTGCCTTTTTCATAGCTGCCACTCACTGGGTTGGCATTTTCATCAAGCTATTCACTATGACCCAAATATAGCTCTCCTGGTCAGACCTCGTAAGAGGTATATGTGAAGTTGCCCAAAAAAGCAGAAAAAAATCCCCTTTCCCTTTATTTAAAATGTAATAGTATTATGTTGTAACAATATGCAGCAAAATCTATTATATCTCATGCAAAAGAATAAAAACAAGGAAATGACATATGAAGAGGAGAGAGCGAGACAACAAAACTATAATACCTTGAAGAAATTAAAAGGAAAAATATCACTAACTTTGTTAACTCCCAAACTGTAAAAACAAGGTGCACCTCTCAATAAAAAAATATTTTCTTGATTATTAAGTATTGAATTTCTCTTGTATGTAAGTTTTCTGCTTAAGATAGTTTGCCAGGTTTTGCTTAACCAATCAGTTATGGTAGGGGGATCTTTATTTTTCCATTTTTGTGCAATACCCTGTTTTGCTGTTGTTAGCACTGCAGTAATCGGTTATAAATCGGTATTAATAACTTCAGGAAGTGAAGTTGCAATGTTTTAACCCCAATGTGCATCACTGAATCACACTTGCCGTTTTAATGTTCAGTCACAGCATGAAGAAAGTGTTTTGGACCCTCTTGCAATCCCCTTTTGCTCTTTCCATCTGGAACCCTCTGGTGTCATCAGCAAACCTGTTCATGCCTAACTCCAGGGCATTTATGAGCAAATTTCAAAACATGGTTCCAATATCAGTCCTTGGAAGACGCCACTTTCTCCGTTGTGAGAACTGTTCATTTATTCCTTCTCTGTTTCCTGTTCTTTAACCTGTTACATATCCAGATGATAACCTCTTTTGTTATTCCGTGACAGCTAAGTTTAGTCCTAGGTGAGGGACTTTATGAAAAGCTTTTTGAAAGTCAAACTACGTAATGCCTATCAGATCAGGCCTATCCATATGCTTATTGACACCAATAATTCAAAAGCATGTGAGAAAACATTCCCTTCATGGGGGAAAAAACAGTACTTTTTGTTGGGGTTGGGGATAAATTCTGTACATGCTCAGAGGCATTCATGCCTGTGTACCTGTATTTCTGCAAACAAAAGCTCACTACCATAGCAAGAAGACTGAAGAGCACTCAGCTGACAGCTTCCAGGACAGCTCTCCCATTTATTCAGCAGGTGGGTTGCCCTAGATGCAGAATCCCTTCTAAATCCATTAAATACGATGCATCAGTTTCCTCTTTAAAGGGAGATGGAGGAATTCCATGTTAATGTAAAAGGCATTAAAAGATTTGCAGCTTGGAAGATTTGTAACCTGCTTCCGCTGTGCTTATGTGCGTTAGGGAGTGTAAGGAGGTGTTGGCAAGCGTCCCTCCTCCCTGGCGGCCCTGTGCCTTTGAAGTCTTTGACACGAGATGTGCATCAGATCTCCTGCACCCTCTTTCAATTTAGGGGGGTATAAGCGCCTCTCTGCTGTAATCTTGAGATGTAATGTCGCCGATAGCCCAGTGCTGAGAGCCGCTGTGGCCGGTGTGTTCCTGCAGTTCTAAGCGCTGTCAGAGCTGGTGATGGATGGCTCAGAGCCGAGTGGACAAAAGCAATCTGCGCTCCCTTGTAACTCAATCCACAGCTCCAAGAGCAGCTGTCGCTGCAGCCGCTTATCGGCTTGCTCCACTTCTGGAGGCCTGGGGAGACCAAATCGCAAAGTGCCTTCGTGCTTGTAGGGGAGGTTGAGTTTAGCACAAAAAAGACCCTCCAGGGAGCCTAGCGAAATCCACCTTGCTGCAATTGATCACAGCGGAGCACAGAATACAGCTTTTAACTTGGCGTCTGAAACTCTTTCCTTGGAATCAGGGCTTTTATATAACAACGAGTTTATAGTCCTCGTGGTTTTGGAGGAACAACCTTCTTCTTCTTCTTCTTCTTCTTCTTCTTCTTCTTCTTCTTCTTCTTCGATCACTCGTAGCTAAGTAAGATTGTCTTCCATAAACACGGTTTTAACAATGAGTCCGTAAGTGACTGTGGAGGCCAATTCTGGACCCACACGTCCTTCCACAGTGGGGACATTGTTTTCCGGGCAGGAGTTGATCATGGTGTGGATTTGCCAAGCGTGCCTTCCTCCTAGCACGTTTCTCCCTTGCGTTCTGATTTCGAGTGTCTTCAAAGTCCATGACACCTTTGATGAAGGCTGTTCTCCAACTGGAGCGCTCGCTGGCCATTGTTTCCCAGTTGTCAGTGTTTATACTACATTTTAAAAGATTTGCCTTGAGACAGTCTTTAAACCTCTTTTGTTGACCACCAGCATTATGCTTTCCATTTTTAAGTTCGGAATAGAGTAGTTGACCACCACCTTGATAACTCAGGAGAAAACCCTAATGAGCTGTAGGAAGTTTTTTTCTGGAATAATCATAGGTTGTACTGGAGTGGTTTCCTGGAGAAGAAAGTTAAGCCTAGTGAGAAACGTATGTGCAAAAGCTTGGCACTTTAATTTACAGCTGCTGTGAGAATGGTCTTATCCTATCTATAACGAAGCTCCATGCCTCTTGTTGCTGGTAGAAGAACCCAGTTTTGACTAAAACCTTTATTTTCAATTCAGATGGTTCCAGTACAAATAAACCCCCTTTCCCCTAAAACATTACCTTGATAACGTTCTAGATTGGACCCTGGATCTCATTGGCTGTCACAGCCTTCATTCTATTCATTACGAGGTATGAGAAAAATCTGGTGGAAAGGTATTTAGTTCTATCTAGCTAATTCACTCCCTGGTGTGGTTGGTTTGTGTACATGTGTATTTTTATGTGTTATTATTTTGTGCCAGGAGAAGTTGCAGCATCTCAGATGAACCTCATAGATATCTGAGTATTGGCTATCTGCTTTGGCATTCCGCCAACTCTTGAAGACACACACCTGTAAACACAGGCATTCCCCTGATCTTGACCCAAGTCTCCTGTTTGATTTCGATTGCTGTGTTGTCATCATGTGGTTATTTTAGCATATTTTAATGATGGATGTTGGTATTTTAATGGGACTGTTTTATTGTGTACTTTCATTATGGCTGTTTTCTATTTCAATTTCTGTATAACAGGTTTTTATACTTTGTAAACTGCTTGCGAGCTGATTCTGCCAATAAGTGGCCTATACATTTATAAATAAGAACAGTTTATCTCACCTGTTCTCATTGAGATTCTTCAAAGTGGCTTGCACAGTAAATAATGCATCACAATGCACTTAACAATTATTTTTAGGTTCCATCATTCATAATCTGGAGCTAAAAGTATCTGGTAGGGCCTCTGTCAGGATTTCAACCACCCATCCCTTGATTTAAGTCATGTGTTGTATATCTGAAGTATGTGCTTTTAAATGTCCTGTCTTGATAGCTACAGGGGTTTTTCAGAGATATTCCTCTGTTCCCCATCCTCAACAGTGGGCGGCCCTCCGTGGAATATTCCTATGCTGTGTTTTCTGGCCCCCTCAGCCGCTACTTCTCCCCCCCACCCCAATCTTTTCCCATTCTGGGCATACGGGCAGGTATTTCTGTATTTGTGTGCCCACCCTCTTAAAAAACAAGAACAACAACACACACAGGAAGCGTGCAAGAGCAGAAGAGTGAACATTATCAGTCTCTTGTTACCATGTTTCACAATGAAGCCTTGTGGGTTGTTGTTTAAGGGGAGGAGTATCCATTTCCATTCTGTTTTCAAAATATATGCAGAGGTTTTGCATTCCGTTTATCTA